GCTGCCAGGAACAAGCAGAGGCTCGTATGGGAAGGACAATGATTCTTTGCCCGCGAGGACCTCGCGATGGAGGGCCAAAACAGCGCGCTGCCTACAGAGACATCATCGACAAAGTGAAGACCACTGGCCTGCGATTTGGTCTGCTACACCCGGCGAAGTTTATCATAACCATTGAGGACGAGACTCTTAGGTATGATTCAGCTGAAGCTGCACTGAGGGGCTTGAAGTTGAAACTCCCAAATATTTTTTGATAGGGATGTCAACAATCCTGGAATCTACCTCGCCCCGACTGTAAGTGACTCTTTTTCTTTTCTTTCGTTTTTACCCCCCTCCCCCCCACCTCACACACACCTTCAACTTGCAGTCCCTCTCTTTCCCCCTCTCCTTGTATATCACAGATCATGGAGTTCAAGAACTGAGAAAGGGAAAGGGCATAAGCATATTGTCTCATCTCCCTTATCCCAAGGTCTGATGTGTGTCACCCAGTTTAAGATTATCTTGCAGGTTTACTAACTAAGCATCCTCTCGGTAACGCTCTGTTGACTGTCTTAGCACTGCTTTCACTCACCCATTGCGGATAGAAGATGGGGCTTGACCCCCCCCCCCCCCCCCCCCCCCCCCCCCCGCGCATACCTGCGCACTCATTCTCTACCCCAGATCCCCACAGGTGCAGTATCCATTATATACGTATGCATGTACAGCAACAGCTGTTTTTCTTTGTTCCTGTGCCCTTACTCATCGCTCATCATATATTTATTTTTATTTCTCTTTCTCTCTTTGAATAAATGGTGAACAATGCTATAAAAGTGACTTCATGGAATGTAAACGGAATTCAGAATACTGTTAAAACACTGATATAGCAATGTTGCAGGAAACCCACCTTAATATGGAAGAATCACTTAAATTAAAGCAAAGATGGGTGGGTCAAGTGTTCTCTTCCCCAGGCTCTAGAGGTTGTAGAGGTGTGAGTATTTTGATCTCTAAGAAATCTCGTACAACCTAATTGATATGGAGATGGATAAAGAAGGTCGATATCTGATATTATTTGGCACTTTACAGAGCGAAAAATGCGCAATGGTTAATATTTATGCTCCCAGTTCTGCCCAAGCATCTTTTTTATCCCCTATTACATCCCGCTTGGCACGGTATGCTAATCATCCCATCCTAATGGCGGGCGATTTCAACTTAGTCAAAGATGCCCTGATAGACCTAGCAATTACATTCTAAGTGCTATTGTCAATAAACCTAAACAATGGAGATTCAATAATGCACTTTTAAAAGATGATACCTTTATTTCCCACATTAAAACCAGAATAGAGGAATTTATATCTATAAACACAGCCTCTGTTTCCTCTATACAAACTGTTTGGGAGGCCTTTAAGGCCACCTGTCGAGGTTGGATAATCAGCTACGCATCAGCAAAGCACAGGGAAGCTGTGGCAAAGAAAGATAAATTATGTAATGAACTTAGATCATTGGAATTGCAACACATGCAAGAACCCACGAGCCAAATGTTAAAGAGCTCTGTCCTCTCATTAAGGGCCGACTTACAAGCAACAATACATGAAGAGACTGCATTTG